AGTTTATAATGTCCCAGTAAGATTTTGGGGTATTGTGATTTTTCGTAATATAATCTTTGTTGAAATCTTTTTTTGTTTGTTTTACTCTTTTATTATAGTATAATTTACAGCCTTTAACATGGTTATTCAAATTTAATTCTGGAAAATTATTCTTTAACTCAGTCAAAAAACATAACTCTTCTTTAATAGCGGCTAACTCAGCGTTGTACCATTTTTTTGTTTTTTTATTATCTCCACAATCCCTCCTTTCTTTTCAATTTAATGGATGGTACTTTAACCTGTGTGGTCCTTTTGCTCTGTGGTTGATAATAACGCTTGATGTAGTTGATTTCAGAAATTTTGCTTCCTGGTATCTGAAGTAGTAATCTATGATTACCAATAATTGTTCTTGGTTAAGTAGTGGTCCCATAAAATCTATTGCGATGCATTTCCAATGTCCATCGGGGAAACGATGTCTTTTCATAGGTAGCGGCTTGTCTGGAATAGTTACAAGCAAACAGTCCCGACAAGACTTGACAAATTTTTCTACTTGTAGGTCAATCAGTGGCCACCAAACCTTGCCCCTTAATCTTCTTTTCATTGCGGTCTCTCCTGGATGACCCTAGTGAGCTAGCATAAGTACATTTTCACGCAGTATCTCTGGGATGACAAGCTTGTTACCACAGAGTAGCGCAGGTCCCATGGTTGTTAGTTCCTCTTTAAATGGAAAATATACGTTTTTATCCGACATTTGCCAGGAGTTTTCATTTATTTTATTGGCAGCTTCTATCATTTGGATATCGAGTTTACTGCCAGTTAGTATTTGTGAAATGTTTAGTGCCTTGGGCGATGTTTTTTCAATTATTTTAAATATATAATGTTAGCTTCTTTCGCTTTTTTCATCTTTAAAGTTTCTTCTTGCTGGTGTTATTAGTAGATATAGTTATCCTCTGGTTTTTTTCAGTAATCGGATATTTGCCTTTCTTCTAGCAGTGCGTGAAACCTGAAATTTTAGTTGTTTGTAGAACTCGTTAACTGAGGTAAATTTACCACTTAGCTACTTATCTTTTTGGCTTTTTTTAATTTTTTTTAAGAATTTACTTGTTATGTTTCCTTTTTTTTGCTGTACACATTACCTGTTACAGTATGTGGGAGTTGATTTATGTCGTCAATAATGATTTACTTTTTACTTTTAATATTGGGTCTCTTAATTTTACGAAAACGTGCGTAAATCTAGGTTGTTAAAATTTTCCTTTTTCTCTATTAAACTAAATTATTTGACACAAGTACACTGCCGTACAATAATAAAAATGCATTGCAGTTACATAGAAAGAGTGGTTCCATCTGCATTCACTTAACCTATAATATTACATTTGTCAAACGTCAAACTTATCACAAAATGTAGCAAACTTAAGAATTTCAATGCAAGTAAATACATAATAATTATTATTAAACGCTTGAAAAAAATAGTATACACTAAGGTGGGCCGAATTTTAACAATTTCGGAATTTTGATTTGGAATAGTGTGAAAAAGTTGCGTTTTGGCAATACAAAGAAAATGTTTATTTTCAATTTTTTTGTCAATTTGATTTTTTTACCCTCTACAGGGGGTTAAAAAATTTAAAAATTTCGAAAAACTGAAATTTGTAATTTTGGCTTGGAATAGGGTGGAAAAGCTTCCTCTTGATAAATGAAAGAAAATATTTAACTTTCCTTTTCCCCTCAATTTGCGATTTCCACCCTCTACAGGGGGTTGAAAAATTAAAAACCACGATATAACTCAAATTGTGGAGCAGCTCTTTGCTTTTTCAATATTTATTAGGCTAATAATAGATATTAAAAAACCCAGACCTCACCGCGGGGAGGTGGCTGCTCAGCGAGTTCCATCCTACCCTCCCTCTTCAGAAACTCAAGTGATTTACTGATTAAAGTCTTTTTTAGTTTCAAACTGGGGCATTGATGTTCGTGAATCCATCTTTGCTTTAATAAAACCATCCCTTTTAACTATGCCAACAACTGAACAAGATGCTTCCGTCACTAACTTGACACATCGTTCGACCGCTTGGGTGTGGCACGGATATGACTCACATTCAAAAATTTTCTCAGGATCACTTTTTATAAAAGCTTGATATCTTCAACGGTCATGCTTTGAAATATCGGAGGACAAGTGATCTCATTTTCCTGCCAGTTGATTAAATCGATGTAGTCATCAGCGTCAAAGTTAAGTTTGGGTAATGTGAAATTCCGAATTTTATGTTGATTATCTTTATTTTTCGCATTTATAATCCGTCTAAGAGCACGCTCTCTTACAAAATTACGAGAATCGGATAACATACTTAACAGAAGGTTCTCAGGATGTGAAAAATATGAGTTGCGCTGAATCACAGGGTAAATAATACTTTTTAGCTCTTGGTTTAAATATCGGCTTACCTTTATAGTTTGAAAAACATGCTTTGCTCCGTGTTTAAATGATGGATTAAATTTTATTGGAAACCAAATGGAAGCATATACTTTCAAAATAAAAGTAGTCAACTGCATTAAATTTGTGTTGGGATCTTCTGTGACGATATACAGGCGTAAGATACGATTTGCCAAAGTTAGCCAACGGGCATGGTTTAATTTACCAGGATTTTGATTTATTAAGTCCGTGGAATAGACTTCTGAGGAAATTGCTTCACAGATTTTATATAAATAGTTTTGATCTGTACTTAAGTCACTACACGTCACAGGAGGTAGCTCACAGTCAATATTTTGGTAGTTTGCAACTGGTAAAGTTTCGCAGTCTTGTATTTGCTTTCCCAATGGACCTGCAAATGCTTTAGGTCCAGATGTTTGCCCATCAATATGCTGGAATATATGTCTAAGAGGGAGTTCATTAGCGTGTAGCTGACACACGAAATGCTGTAATGGTCGACCTAATTTCACCTCAAGTTGGGCAATTACACCATTTTTCAACCCGGTGTTCACTACGGTCCCGTCACAACCAACCGCAACCAGATCACTTAAATCATATCCCTTCTCTTGCAAAAATGAGAAAATGCTGTCGCATATACCTTTTACCGATCCATTGGAAGGTACAGTATGACCCAAAAAGATGGATACTGGTTCTTGCACTAATGTGATGTGCTCCTGAACTACTGACCGTCGATGATGTTTTTTATCCACTGTTTCAACCATTAGGGTTTTGTCTTTTCTTCCATCAAAATATATTGCTTTGAGAGATTCATTTTCTTGTTTAGAATAGGATTTTCTGGATTTTTCTCTGGCCCGCCTCAATTTATTTTTGTCTATCACATGCGTAGTGTCATCCAAACGATTCCAAAGTCTTGCAATACTGCTGTAACGACTGCAGCTGCTGATCTATCTGACAAACCAAACCTGTCACAAATTTTAGCAACCGTAGGAAGCCTTTCAGTTTTTAGGGGCGCCTTTAATGTTTTGCCAATTCCCGCAGAGGTGGAGGGCAAGTCGCTTACATTTAATATGTTTGATTGGCACATGTCCGACGTTTTTGTTCTAGATTTTATTGTTATTTCATTTTCAAAGTTTAATTTCTTATTTTGCGATTTTTTTTCCATTCTAATTGTTTTCTTCAATAATTTTTTTGTTTCGTTGGCATCAATTGAACCAATTACCATCATTCTGGCACCTCGCTGATCTTGAAGAAAGTCACTTTATGGTCTTTACTGCAAACACATTGTTCAAAGTTCTCACATTTACACGCACTGATGTCAAATAACTTTTTGATTTGAACTTTAAATTCTTCTACTTTTAAATTATAACTTTCACTTTTTCTACAACTTGGATACCTCAGAAGCTTCAAATATTTTTCATGCTGCGCCTTGATCAATTGTAGAACACGTTTTCTTGTTACCGTGGGTATTGACGACTTCTGCCATAAATGGGAGCAAAAGTTTTTCGATATATCGAATATACTTGCCGAACAGATTTTGTGAGTCTTCAAACTATATCTAATGCATACATAACATTTTAAAACTTCTTCTATACTTGGAAGAATATTGTCTTTTAAATCAGAAGGAGAGCCTAGTAAAGGACACTCATAATCGCGCCTCGTATAAAAATCTTAATTATATCGTGATTTTTCATTTTTCAACCCCCTGTAGAGGGTGGAAATCGCAAATTGAGGAGGAAATTGAAGATAGATATTTTTTCATTTGTCAAAAGGAAGCTTTTCCACCCTATTCCAAGCCAAAATTACAAATTTCAGTTTTTCGAAATTTTAAATTTTTTTAACCCCCTGTAGAGGGTGAAAAAACTAAATTGACAAAAAAATCGAAAATAAACATTTTCTTTGTATTGCCAAAACGCAACTTTTTCACACTATTCCAAATCAAAATTCGGAAATTGTTAAAATTCGGCCCACCTTAGTATACACGTATATAATACTCGCTCAGATGCCTTTTAGATGCATAAAAGCAATTTTAAATCCCAGACGTACAGTGTTTCCATATGTACAAAAATGAATTCAATGATTAACCAGTCATTGTCTAAAAAATTTAGTAAATACGGCCATGATTGTTATGTAGTTCTGTAGTTGTTGAATTAAACCAATAAAATGATGATTTTATAAAAAAAAATAAACCACAAAACCTTTTTTAATTTTTTTAAATACTTAATTTAAAATTAATGAAATAAAATAATATTATTATATATTTTAGATTTATTAAAACTAAATACTTATACTCTTTTAATTTGCTCTACATATTACGTTACAATTTATAATATTTTAGAATTTAATTTATGTTTTATTTTTTTTTAGGTTAAAACAAAAAGAAGCAAAAGCGAAACCGAACCGTCTAAAAGTGTACAACGTAACAAAACCAAAATCAAAATCTACAGTAATATTTTAGTATTAGCTAGCTATTAACCAATTAATCAAACATCCTTATAAATAATTAATAATTTTTTTATCCATCACATAAGTTAAAATATTTAATCCGAAAGAAATTTTTTAAGAGCCAACCAAAATAAAATTTGAGTAATCGTTTTGCCTTGAGATAATGTTCGTCCAGACCGAATTCACAAAATCTAATAACAATAATGACTTAGCTAGACCACGCGAAGTAGTGAGCGACAGCTACGGAGACCAATTGAGCGACTTGGACCTGATATCGCGCTTCTGTTTGCCGATTTGCTCGCGCGACAACGAGATCAGGGAGGTGGCCCTGGAGGTCATCTTCAAGACGGTGGAGGGTTGGTTGGACGGTATAGGCAGTCCGAAGCACCGCTTGGTGGCCGGATCAGACCGGCGGAGGCTGCAGAACGGAACGGGGAACGGTTGTGCTTGTTCTGATCTAGTCGGAAACAGCGTCCAAGAGATTCCGAAGGAGTACTTGGACTTGGTCTCGTTACACTTACCGATTATTTTAAGGTTATCTTTGAGTTGTCCTTTCATCAATGTCAGGGAGAAATGTCGACATATCCTGGAAATCGTGCAGGTAAGAATTACTGGTTATATTAAATTCTCTTACTATTTATTGAGAGTTAATTTTTTTAAGGCAGTTTCATTAGATGGTATTGTGGGTAAGGTTAATAAATTAATGAAATAAATAAATCCTGTGTATGCCCTTGTACAAGAAAAACCCTTGAGTTAGGATGCAACCATCAAATTTAATCACGTGATAATGAATACTTTTTTGCAAATAATGCCGCAAAGACCGAATAAATTTAAAAAATTGACTTTATAATATACAAGGTGTTATTTAATTAATGTTATATATTAAAATGGGTAGTTCCTTAGGGTCCATAAAGAAGCACCTGAAACTTTTTTTCTTCTAAATTCCAAAGACTAAAAATAATTTATAATAACCTTTATCCTACCAAAAAGTACGCCGCTGATCCACTAGGAACCACGGATTAACCTTACCTATTACTTTTTAATGCAGTATTGCCAAATGTAAAATTAAAAATGTATTACCTTATTTGAGATGCTCAAAATGATTTCATTATTTAGAATGCAAGCTTAAACTCTGCGAAGCATGCTTTCGTGCACCTGCGTAAAAATGTCTGGATTATTTACAATTAAGTTCCTGAGTTGCTGCCCAAATCCCGTCTCTGGTAAATGTGGCCTCATCGGTATAGAAACACTATGGCTCCAATCAGCATCTTCTTGATTTTTCTATATATACCAATGGCAAAATTCCAACCGCAGTGCATAATCTCCATCCTGAAGAGCTTGAACTTTTTGTAGGTGATAGGGGTACAAACTATTTTCGTGAATCGTGCGCCACGTAACAAAGTTGGACATTTGTCCAAGTTGGGCAGTTAATCGTCTTGTACTAATTCTCGGATTTGCTTCCACTTCGTCCAAAATTTGTTCTTCAATGGCCACAAATTCACGTCCCTGAGCCCGACCCCTATCACCAACAAATGCGCTAAATCTTCCGCGGTCCCTTAAATTTTGCACAGCACGTACAAAACTTTGCTCCGAGGGCGGTGGATGTCCGTGATTGGCGTTGTGATAATTTTGAATATACCTACCTACAAAATTCTAGCTTGACGAGCATTTTACATCGCTTCCCCGTAACACAAAACCATATTTGTTAATTGAATATTTGTGAGCGCCCGACCCGCCATAGCATAAAATCTTTCGCACTAATTACTTATTATTATTACTAATAAAATACAAATTATCAAACTTTCAAAATATTTATAAAAGAATAAAAACCTGAAAAAACTTGAAAAAAAATAAAAACCTGAAATCGCTAGATCACTAATTAGACCTTGTAAAAATTTGTAAACTAATGAATTTTTAATTATCGTTTTAACATTGTGATTTAAAAACATACTTATAAAAAATATATTTAAATTTAGACACACCAGATTTAAACTTTATTCATAGTTCGTAATGATTTACTTTACTTTAAGTTAATCTGGTTTAATTTATTATGTTGGTTGGTAACACATTCTGTCAAAAATTGTAGGTTATGTGCTTAAATTGTAAATATCTTAACTAAGGGAAGTGCTTTTGGGCGTTTGGATTTATTTACACAAATTGAATGTTTAACGATCAACCTGTGAACTTGTCCTAATTTCATCTGAGTAAACAGAAAGAAAAAAACCGATGAAAAAATTAATTTTATGGAGTTTTTAAATAGGTACTAATTTTTCTTATCATTGCTTAAGTTAATAGCTGGATGAGTAAATAAATACAGAATAGTATTAGAACTTTAAGGGCTTAAAACTTTTGTATTTATTTATTTTATGCAAGAAAATTTTTTAGTAACAATTTTTTACAACTGGCAACGCGCAGCTACTTTGTTGGTTTGTATCTATGTACTCACAGAACACAAGTGTGTAACCAGTGGCGTATCACAAAAAATATAAAAAACTTCTAATGCATTTAATGTATTTTCTTTATCTTCGGGAAAATATCTTTTAAAATATTTTTCCATTACACCTTATGTCAAAAGGTATTCAGTATTTTAATATATAACACCCTGTACAAGGTGTCCCTAAACTTAGTGGCATAAATTTAGGAGCAGATTAAGCAAGTCAATATAATTATTGTAATCTCGGAAACGGTTTATTTTATCAAAGTTTGGGAGGTACACCTTTTTAATGGTAGCCGAACTGTTTAATCGAAAAATTGCATCAAATCTTACAAAAACCTAACCTCAACGTTTGTATGGGACAATAAGCATAAAGCAACCCCTGTTTCTACGACACTGTGTTCACTCAAACAATTGTAATTATGTGTGAAAATGTGTTTTGGTAGTAAGTGACTGTTCGCAAAATATCACCTTTCCAAGACTACCATAGTAGAAGTTACATTAAAAAAAACTTATATGATAAGTAACACTTTATCACCCTGTATCTTGAAAACAGAAGTAATTAGAAAAAATATTTATTTAGGTTTTCGTCTCACTTTTACTTGCTCAATCTTTTCCTAAATTTATCCCAATAAGTTTAGGGACACCTTGTATGTATACCGGGTGTATCTGAGAATAGGCGCACCCCTGTAACTTTTTTATTTATAAAGAGAGATACATGAAATTTAGCATGCTTAATTAGAATATAAAATGCCACTTATAAGAGTAAAAAATTAATTTTTTGAACTTCCGGTTTTGCCGGAAATGATATCAACTTTAGATTTTTAAATGGAACGCCCTATATATTTTTACATACTTTCTGAGAAAATTTTGAGTCGGACAGCATCCTCAAATTGACCTTTCGACGTTTCGTCATCAGAAAATGCATCATCATAAAGATAAATCTAGAGTGCTTTGAACTATTTGAGAAAAACGAATTTTGACAAGTTTACACTGCAGGGAATAGCTGAATAACAACTTTCTAAGGCAAGTTCCATTTTTCAGGCATTGTGTGAATCCATTAGAAAAAAATAAGATAGTTCGAAGCACTCTAGGTTGATCTTTATGATAATACATCTTCTGATGATGAAATGTCAAAAGGTCAATTTGAGGATGCTGTCTGACTCAGAATTTCCTCAGGATTCCAAATATGTAAAAATATATAGGGCATTCCATTTAAAAATCGAAAGTTGGTATTCTATCCGGCGAAACCGGAAGTTCACAAAATTCATTTTGTACTCTTATAAGTGGCATTTTGTATCCTAATTAACCATGCTAAATTTCATGTCTATCTTTATAAATAAAAAAGTTACAGGGGTGCGCCTATTCTCAGATACACCCGGTATATACGAGCCCTAACCACATAATGTTCGGACACTTCATAATTTATACAGAAATTTTTTTCGTGAATACTATCTCAAAATTATTAGAAGTTATGAAAAATTCAGCTTATTTTGGCATATACCCCTCGAAGCGATTTTTATTTTTAAAAAGTTTACCTTTTATTTTTAGCTTTTAAAAAAAGGCTAACTTTTTAACTTTTTTTTGCATGAGTAAAAAAAGTTATAAATGGGCCCATTAAAAAGAACATAAAATATTATACAAACCCTGAAAATTTGGTAAAAATTGTATAAATAATAAGAAAGTTATAGCGATATATATATCTGCAAAATCTCCCGTTTCCTAAGAAAATTGCAAAAACTCTTTAAAAATAGCATTTTTAAATTACTTATACTTTTTTATAACTTATTTATTTTTTACCAAATTTTCAGGGTTTGTATAATATTTTATGCTCTTTTTAATGGGTCCATTTATAACTTTTTTTACTCATACAAAAAAAAGTTAAAAAGTTAGCCTTTTTTTAAAAGCTAAAAATAAAAGGTAAACTTTTTAAAAATAAAAATCGCTTCGAGGGGTATATGCCAAAATAAGCTGAATTTTTCATAACTTCTAATAATTTTGAGATAGTATTCACGAAAAAAATTTCTGTATAAATTATGAAGTGTCCGAACATTATGTGGTTAGGGCTCGTATATATTAGACTGGTTCAAAAAAATCGAATATTTTTTTTTCTTCAAAGCCCGCATTAAAATATCTTCCTAGTAGTAAAAAAAGAAGCCTGTGAAAATTGTAGCTCTTAATATTAATATTTAGAGGTCGCTCATCGTGAATTTCTATTTTACGTTTAAATAACACAGGAATTCTTTTTTCTTAACTTTGAAATTTTATAACTCGTTTTTGAGTGAACGTATTGGAATGAACTCTATATATTTTTAAAGAAAATTGAACGTTCTACAAAAAATGTTTCTTATAATTTTTTCGTAAATTCACTCCTTTAATAGTTATTCAAGGTTGAAATTATTCCAATATGTCCACTCAAAAAAAAAGTTATAAAATTTAAAGTTAAAAAAAATTCCTGTGTTATTTAAACGTTAAATTTATTATATGTCTAATTTCAACCTTGAATAACTATTAAAGGAGTGAATTTACGAAAAAATTATAAGAGACATTTTTTGTAGAACGTTCAATTTTCTTCAAAAATATATAGAGTTCATTCCAATATGTTCACTCAAAAACGAGTTATAAAATTTCAAAGTTAAGAAAAAAGAATTCCTGTGTTATTTAAACGTAAAATAGAAATTCACGATGAGCGACCTCTAAATATTAATATTAAGAGCTACAATTTTCACAGGCTTCTTTTTTCACTACTAGGAAGATATTTCAATGCGGGCTTTGAAGAAAAAAAAATATTCGACTTTTTTGAACCAGTCTAATATATATATATATATATATATATATATATATATATATATATATATATATATATATATATATATATATTAGGGTGTCCCAAAAAAAAGAATATTTTTTTTCTTCTCGTCTCTTGTGAAAATATGTTGGTTTGTCATGTTTTAAGAGCCCTGTCAAAAGATCAGCACCATTAAAAAATTTGTTGCTCAAGATTTTTAAAAATTACCAAAATCGCCAAAAATTGGATTTTTTTTTATTTTAATTTTTTTTCTCTTTCCGATATTATTTTTTAATTTAAAAATAATAATGATTCTGAAAATTTCAAATCGATATTTTAATTTCTAAAGGTCGCTCAAGATTTTTTTAACTTTCAAAGTAGAGTATTTTGAATGTTTTCGAGCGACCTCTAAATATAAATATCAACGAACTTTTAGCGTCCTTTAGAAATCAAAATATTGATTTGAATTTTACAGAATTTTTATTATTTT